GCACCGCCTGGGCGTGTAGCCCTCTCTTGAAAAGCTCAGGCCAAACATGACGGCATCATGGAGTCATGGAGAGGATGAGAGGGGGCACGCTGTTGCTGGATAGTATGTTAATGTTAAGACGGGTGGGCGAGAGAGAGAAAGAGAGAGAGAGAGAGAGAGAGAGCGAGAGAGAGGAAGATAGCTTCGGAAATCAGGCGGGCATCAGGATAGCTATTCTTCGCCATGGCAGTGGGCGCCATTCTCGCACTTGCAGCGCTGGAGGAGGAGTGGGGATGAATACCAGAGGAGGTCTGCCGGAAGACTTGATCATGGGCCAGGAACAGACGAGGAGGAGGAGGGAGAGGAGGAGGAGGAGGAGGAAGGAGGAGGAGGAGGAGGAGGAATTTGAGGAGGAGAAGGAGGATAACGACGAGCGGAACATGACGATGGAGGGGGACGAGGACGAGGACGAGGAGGAACAGGAGGAACGGGCTCCTCGCTGGGAGCCCCTGGCCGCCGCAGGCGCTGTGGAAGTTCCTTGAGCTTCCGTCACCTGGTGTGGTCCCTGCCCGCGGGGGCAGCGCGCGGGGGGGCGGAGGGCGCCGTGGTAGCGGTGGTGGAGAAGGAGGGGAACGACGGAGGGGAATATGGAGGAGGAGGAGGAAAGGAGGAGTAGGAGCAGGCGGAGGAGGAGGAGGAGGAGGAGGAGGAGGAAGAGGAGAAGAAGGGAGGACTAGTGTAAACCCACAAGCCTTCCAAGCCTCCTCTTTACAGGTCTCAGGCCTCCTCTTCACAGGTCCCTACAGTGTCTTGTCTTCACGGAGGACAGTGCCCCGCTTGACGACAACCGTCAGATAATCTTGAGACGTGTCAACGCACCATTCCTGGGACTTCAACGCTGCGAATCAAAGTTACCCTTGCCTCATGACGGCGCTAAGCCGTGCCAGAACACCATTCCTGGGACGTCAACACAGCGAACCAACGTGAATGGTGCGCACTGCCAGTCCTACGCCGTGCCGAAGTACCACTTCTGGGACTTCAGCCACAATACGCCTTGAACGTTTTGCAGAGTTTTACGACGACTGTGTGCGGCGCTCGCTACGGCGAGATCCACATTTTGAAAACTGCCCGCCCTCCCTTTGTGAAGATTTTGCGAACTTTGAGGACAACTGTGCGCGGTGCTCAGGCGAGAGCTACATTTTGAACACGGCCCGCCCTCCATCCATGAAGCTCCTGGCGCAGTTTTAGGGCGACTGCGTGCGGCGCCACGGCGAGGACCGCAGTTTGAGAATGGCCCACCCTCGATCCGTGAACCGATTGCACGTTTTGAAGACGAGTGAGCGCGGCGCCACTGCGAGAACCACAATTTGAAAGTGGCCCACCCTCGATCCGTGAAACTATTGCACGTTTTTGAGACGAGTGAGCGCGGGGCTCTGGCGAGCGCCACACTTTGAAACGGGCCGCCCTCCATGCGCGGAGCTCCCTGCGCAGTTTCAGGGCGAATGTGCGCGGCGCTGCGGTCAGAGTCACACGTTAAGACCGGCCCGCCCTCCGTCCGTGAAGCTCTTGCACACTTTTAGGACGAATGTGCGCTGCGCTACGGCGTGAGCTTTATCTTTAAAACGTCCCGCCCTCCATTCATGAAGCTCCTGGCGAACTTTAAGAAGAATATGCGCTGCGCCAAGGCGAGAGTTCTACTACCAATACCGGCCCGCCCTCCATTCACGAAGCTCCCTGGTACTTCTTGAGACGAGCTGAGGCGAGAGGCACATTTTGAAAACGACCCGCCGGTTATCCGTGAATCTATTACAAACTTGCAGCTCAAGGAGCGTAAGTTGGCAGGAAGTCTCCGGCGAAACGCCCAACCCACCCTTCCGATACGTCTCGGAGTGCTGAAGGGAGGAGTTGTTTTTAAGGAAGAGAGATGGAGAAGGAAGAGCAGGAGGAGGACGATGGAGGGCGCTGAAGGAGGAGAAGAAAGAGGAGGACGACGAAGCGGAGAGGAGGGGAAGGAGGGGGAGGAGGAGCAAAGAGGATTAAGGGCAGGATTCGATTGGAGGAGGCGGAGGAGGAGGAAAAGGAGCAGGAGGAGGACGATGGATGGCGATGAAATGGAAGGAGAAGGAGGAGGAGGAGGAAGAGGAGGAGGAGGAGGAGGAGGCGGAGGAGGAGGAGGAGGAGGTGGAGAGGAAGGTCGGTCAGGGAAACGAGTGAACCAGCGGTTTGTAACGAATGTTTGGGACAGCACCCTCGAAGCGGGGCCTGGCCTGAGGGTTTGCTCTCTCCTGGAGGCGAGCCCGCTATCCTAGGGGTGGCAAGTTGTGGCATGTGTTCATGGCAGAGGAGGAGTTGGAGTACGTACGAGGACGGAGGAATGAGACGAAAGATGATGATGAGGATGACCAGAATACATTCCCGATACATCAGCGATGTTGCAGTACACCCTCCCGCGCGAGTCCCCTCATACACGAGGTCCTCACACGCTTAATTGTTCAATGCAAGAAGTGCCCCCTTGAAGTACGCTCGCCGCATGGGTCTGCCATTCAGGCGAGAGCCTCGTTTTGTGAAGGACTTGTCTTGCATCCTTCCAGGGAGTTGCCAGGAATGCGGAAGTGTAGGATTATCTAGTTCAATAAGGTGTTTAGCGAGCACCCCGTTTTGAAGAGGTACCACCCCCATCCGTGTATCTGCTGCACATTTTTCACCTGTGGTCGTTGATCGTCGGAAGTTTTCCGCGAGAGTCCCATTGTGGAAAGGAGCCGTCTTATGTTCGTTGAGCTGTTGCATATATGTAAGCTTTATGTATTCAAATTTGATCAGTCTGAAAAACTGTCCAGCGAGAGTCGCATTTTGATAATGACCCGCCCTCCATCCTTGTAGCTCTTGCGAGGATGTGGGTAGGCAGCGCCAGGGACATGCAGTCGCAAGCACTTGGTGAGGCATCATCGGGGCGTTCGTTTCTCGTCCAAGTTCTTCGTCGCGTGCGCGCAGAGGGGGCCTCCAGTATTTCAGAGCGCCCGCTCGCTGAGCCAGTGCAGCCCATGCCGCGGGCGAGGCGGTGCAGACTTTGGCGAACTTGCGCAGATCAGCGGCTCGTGTACAGTCGAAACCGATGGTGAGGATGAGTCATCTTCCCACGGGTACCCTTGCATCCGTGCCTCTTTGGTCCGTCCTTGATTACTTTCGATGGCCCGCCGCGCCCGAAGAAGCCTCAATACGGGCACCCAAGTGGCTTGCATCCTTCTCGCGCAGACTTGCTATCAGTTTTGATGTGTTTTCCTGCACCTCTCCTGCGCGCAGTCGGACCGAGGTATATGATCGAGGTCGGTTCGGCGAGGGTACCCTGGTGTTCTTTGTGTTTGTTGGACGCTCTGGTGCATCCTGTGGAGGGCTCCCCCGGATGTTCTGTGTGTTTTTGCCGACGGAGGGTTTCATGTTCTTGAGGGATGTTCTTCTGGCCCAGGTCTGGATGTGCTCGTCGTGGTCGGGGTGGATGTAGGACGGGGCTAGGACGAGGATTGATCCAGTCCAGAGCGTTCCGGGACGCTCTCAGAGCGTTCCGGAACGCTCTGAGAAGGCCGCGGCGCCCGAGACATCCTCGCCCGAGCCGCCGGATCTCAGAGGTTCTCGGCTTCTCCTCGCCCGACTTTGTCCTCGTCCTGGCTGCGTCGTAGGATGGCTGCGTGCCCTTCCAGTTCCTCCGGCGTGGCTGCCCTCTTGCCGTTGCTCCGGCGGGCTGCGCCCGCCCGCCCTCCCGCTGCGCCTGCCGCTCCCGGTGGTCCGGAGGGCTCCGGGGCAGGAGCACTGCGCGGGCGCCCCGCTCTTCGGACGAGGACGAGGTGCCCCCAGCTCTGCCCTTCCCCCGTCTTCCCCTCTTTGGGGCCTCCTGGGATCGGGGGTGGACAGAACCCCCAACTTTTGGTCTGCGGGGCGAGAGCGAACCTCTTCTGGTTAAAAGCTAGGCGGGCTACGCACAGCTCTGATTGGGGAGACAGAGCACAGGCGTGCGGGGCCTAAAAACAGAACCCCCAACAGTGACACGTCGATTAGTGAATTGTCCGTTTTCGGTTCTCGAGAGGGCGCCGTGGCCGCTATTTTCCAGGCTTGCGCCCGCCGGGTTTGGGCCTCAGGTCGTTTTCACTAAACCACGTTTTACTAAAGGGGGGTCTGTCCAACCCCGATGGGAGGACCTCGTCGCCACCGCTGGATTCGCCTCGAAATACTGGTCAGAACGCTCCCCGGGAGAGGTTTGGGGGGTAGCGGTATCGGTACCCACTGTTTTCCCCACGAGCGAGGGGGGGAAGTGAGAAGGAAAAGGCCCTCTCAGAAGGCGGCGGGACTCCTCAGAAGCCCTCGCGCCTTCTGAGAATTTTTTGGTGTCTTCGGGGAATGGTTAGAAAACTTCTCAGAAGGCCGGGGGATTCCCGAGGCTTCTGAGAAGGCCCGTCCTTTCTCACTTCTGCCCTGGGCTGGCTGCCGATTTTTCGCCGAGCGCGTTCCACTGATCGAAAAATGCTGATCCGCAGACGTCTGAAAAATACATGTTTGCCTCGACTTGAATGTCTCGTAGAACCCCCGCGGCGGATCCGTGCTGTGTGCGAGTAGTTGCTTTGTGAGCAGTGGAACGCGCGGGTCTACTCCTGCTTTCTCCCTTCTCTGCCCTCTTTCCTCTTCAGGGATTCATCGCGAGCTCCTCGAATCAGGCGCGGCGAGCGAAACAACATGACGATTCAACGGAATCCATGAGCACCCTCCTGCTCATCTGGCCAGGATTTATAACCTGGCAGCAAACGGCCAGCTGCCAAAGTCGTAATGATGCGTCCCTCTCCCCTCTCCCTGTCCCCCTCCTGGAGTCTCTCTCTCTCTCTCTGTCTCCTCTCTCTCTATCTCTTTCACCGTCATCACAGATTCGGGTTCAGCTTCGTGGAGCGGATCGTATTGGAGCCGTTTGTGGCTCGAGCCTCCCCTTCCCCTCACTCCTTGAGCGTGCAATTTTTCCTGCCGCCCGATCGCCTCGGCAGCTCGTGCGTGCAGTGGTCCGCAGCGAAGCATCTACCGCTGTGCGTCTTATACACAAGCAACAATGGCCAATCAGGCCAGATGGGGCTGTGCACATCACACTTTTCTCCAGTTGTTCTTATCCTCATCGTGATCCTCGTCTTCTTCCACAGCTTCCTCCTTCCCTCTTCTCGCTTCTGGGATGTCGTTATATATTTGGTCACCTGTGCGCGTTGCTCGCAAATCTTGCCAACCGCGCTGCACACTTCTCTCTCCTGCTGCTACTGCTGCTACCCCCCTCGTGCTTCGCCTCTTTCTTGCTCCTTGCCGCGGTCGTTTCACGTCTTTCGTGGCCCGACGCGATTTATTTCACAGTGCTGTCTGACGCGTGAGAGGCTGCTCTGGATGTTGCATCTCGTCAGAGCAGGATGGAGCAGGGCGAGGTTTGACGAGGTAGGTGGCAGGATGATGAAGGATAGCGCATGGAGGCTGGGCTGGGCAGGTCGCCGCGCGGTATCTCTACAAGACTCGCCAGCTCACGTACATCAGCCAGATACGAAAGTTGATGGCCTCAAAGTATCTGATGGCCTTCGGCCCCCATCCCCGCACCGTGCCTGGGTTGTGGGTCATATGCCTCTGGGATGCTCGTTGGGATGTCGCGGGAGGCCTCTCGGGGGCTTCTAGGGGGCCGTTTTGAGGCCTCTTGGGCCCTTTTATTGAGGTTTTATTGTTGCCTCCTGGGGGCCTCTTGGGGCAGAAGACGCGGGTTTTCGATTCGTGTTCGCACTTGGGCCCTTTTTGGGCTGTCTTTGAGCCCTCTTGGGCTGTCTTGGGCGCGTGTGGGCCGTCTTGGAGGCCTCTTGGGCCGTGTTTGGGACCTTCGAGGGGCCTGTTGGGCCGTCTTGGGGCGGTCCTGGGGGCCTCTTGTGCTGTCTTGGAGCGTCGGGAGCTCGAAAAGTCGAGGCCAAATCATTGAAAAACCAATTTGAAATCAATGATTTTGCCTTCTCGGGGCACTCTTGGGAAGTCTCTTGGGGCTCTCTTGGGGCGTCTCGGAGGCCTCTTGGGCCGTCTTGGGACCACGTTGGGCGTCTAGGTGCGATCTTTGGGCGTCTCGGGGTTCGCTTGGACCGTCTTGGGAACCTCTTGGGGCTCTCTTGGCCTGTGTTGGGGCCCTCTCGGGCCCGAAACGGTCACGCGACACGCCCCGAGAAGACGCGGGAAGGCCCAGAAGGTTTGTGAGTTTGAGGTCTGGGCCTAGACTCTTCAGGAGTGAAGACTGAGGCTTCAAGGATTAGGCAGAGGACCTGAGGACATGCCCGCTCCGTGCCCAGCGGCACGGTGGCGGATGAGAAGGAGCGTGGATCTCCATGCCTTGCAGCTGGGCAGACATGCCAGACCTCGCCGAGGAACAAGGCAGAAGCATAAACGTTCTCGGAGCTCCGTGCGGGTTTCTCTCGGATCGGCGGCGGGTCACCCTGGCGGCCAGAGTCTCCAGCGCCGCCCCCAGGCGCGCTCCGCGCGCCAGGGAAGGCGGTCCGGCACCGATCCACGACATGCTCGCGGGCGTCCGAAAGTTTCCGTCCGTGCCGCTTTCTCTTCCCTGGCCGCGGCCTCCCAGTCCCACACGGGGCCGGAGCAGGTGGCACGTGTCGGAGGATCTCGCCGCGCCGGGGACGCGCCTCGATGCGGAGCGCCGATTTTCTGCATGCCCACGGCGCCGACGCATCTCCGACGTCGCCGATGCATCGCCGCTGCGTCGGCGATGCGGCGCGATCTTCTCCATCCCGTCGTCGCCTCGCCGACGGATCGGCGATGCGACGCGATCTTCTCCGACCCTGTCTGCTCGGGCCTAGTTTGAGACGCTTTCAGACGTGGGCCGACGAGGGAAATTCGGAGGATGATGAGGGGGGTTCGAAGAAGACAAATCGCAGAAACGTAAACTTTAGGTGGGCCCAGCGTCGATCCAAGAAATCTGCGCAAAGCGCCGAACGTTTATGTTTATGCATTTTTTTGTTCCTCTAGAGAGGGTCGAGGGAAAAGGAGACGCAGGAGAGAAATCTGAGGACGAGCATCGATCCTCTCCGTTCCGACGAGGCCGCGCCGGCAGTCAGCTGGGCCTTTCGAGCGAGGTCCGGCGGGCAGGAGTGTTCTGCGAATTCGGTCTTGTTGCACGACGACGACGCCCGACGACGACGGCGACGATGGCGACGACGACGACCACGGCAACGACGACGATGACGACGACGACCCCGACGACCACAAGTACGACGACGGCGACAAGAGGCCACCGAGGTTCTCTTCGGCTTTTTGCTTTGGAAGCCTGGTGGAAGCCTCTCGGAATCCTTGTGCAGCTCTACTGGGGCCATTTTGGAAGTCGTTGTTGCGTTTTTGGGCAATTTTGGGGCCTCCAACGTTGATTGGGATCGAAAACAACGAGAAGTCACACATCAGTTGTTCCCCTCATTGTTTTGGACAGATGTTTGCCTCTCGGGGGGGAGTTCCTTGGGAGGCTCCGTGGCTACTTTGGACTATCTTGGAGCGGACTGGAGGACTGGGTCCGGCGAAACTCAGGGAGACGGGGTCGGGGGGAATACAGTGTTGGAAGGAGGTCGTAAAGATTGATCCCTTGCACCAGAGGGCTGGTGGGATTTTGAAAGAGTAGGTCATACAACCGAAGGAAGTCTCAAACAATATCCACGATTTGAAAAGGAGCTGCGCTCCACCTGTGTTGTTGTTGCTGCACAATTCTTCAGGTGTGCAGCTCTCAGGAAGTCCCAATCGAACTATCTATTTGAAACAATGCATTCCATCCGTGTGATTGTTTGAAGCTTTCAACACGAATGTGCGCGGCGCTGGGGCGACAGCCCCATTTTGAGAACCACCGCCTCCGTTGGTGTAGCCGTCAGTAGTTTTAGGACCAATGCGGTCGACGCTGGGTCGAGAGCCGCATTTTGACTCCCCCTTCCGTCCGTATAGAGTCATAACCGAAACGCCCGGCCCGCTTTGCCGATCCGTCTGGTGGTCAGACGAGGAAGAGTAATTTGAGAATGCATAGATGAGGTGGGTGTCGAGGGCGAGAAGGTGGATGGGTAGAGGTGGAAGAGCAGAAAGATGATGCGGATTGGGGCCAAACGTAGGAAGAGGAAGAGGAGGAGGAGGAGGGGGAGGAGGAGGAGGAAGTGGAGGAGGAGAAGGTGGAGGAGGAGGAGGAGGAGGAGGAGGAGGAGGAGGAGGAGGGATGAACGGGCAGGAGGAAGGAGGAGGAGGAGGAGTCAGAAGGAAACGGTAGGAAGATGTTGAAGGAGGAAGAGGAGAATAGGAATGAATGGTGAGAAAACCAGGTGAACCGTTGCTGGCTGGGACGTCCATGGCCCCTCCTTCTCTGCCGCGCCAGGAGCACGCATATCGTCTGGGGCACGCGTCCGTTATCAAGGCCCGCCGGGCGCTGGGGAGTCGAGGTTGGTTGCCCCTTGTCCTCGCATTGGTTGCGCGGGAGAGCGCCCCCTTGCGGGCTTGTCCCATGGGGCGGGCCCGCAACGGGACACCCCAAGCGCCGGCTTGCGCGCTTGGACGCCTTCCCCTGCGGCCCCCTGAAACCTCATGCCACATGCCACTGCTGCCCGGGGTCGCTGTCCCGTCCACTTCGAGCAGGACTCGCTGCGGGTGTCGCCGCGGAGCCTGTCTAGTTGGGACAAGCCTCGTCTGCCCAGCTCGCTGTTGGGTTAGGACAGCACTTGCTGTGGCTCAACGAGCGCGCTCCACTACTCGCAAAGTGCCTACTCGCAACCGTCCGAAAGAAACACATGTTCGCCTCGTTGCAGTGGGCCGTAAATCCCTTGCGGCAGGTGCAGGCCATTTGCGAGCAGATGCTCTGCGAGCATTGGAACGCGCTTGTCTAGTGGGGCATCGTGTCACCGAAGGCCCTCCATGTTGCGCTACGGTCAATCGGGGGCCTTCGCGTATACCGTGCAGTAGCCCACGCCAGATCTGCTGGTATACACCAAGCCCCGTGGGGCCGTAGGTGGGGTGGTGTCATTTGTTTTCTGGTCCGTCGTGCCCATACCTTCCGTGCCCATGTTGAGCGCGCCAGCCGTCCCTCGCTTGTCGCTCCTCGCTCCTCGCTCCTCGCCCGCTGAGCAGCGTCTGCCCCCGCGGATCCCTTGGCCACGGCAACGGCGGCCCCATGCCCCGCGCGCTGCCCGTGGCCGTCGAGAGGGCTGGACGACGTCGGACGCGAGGGGAAGTGAGATCTTCGAGAACAGAAGAAACCCCAACCCCAATAATGCAATGAAGACAGAGCCCTTCGTGGCCAGCGGCGAGCCTGAGCGGGAAGTGATAAGGAGAAGGCCTTCTCAGAAGGCTCGGACGTCCCACGGCTTTCTGGCAAGTTTTCTCAGCTTTCACCGAGGACGCAGACGACTTCTCAGAAGGCCGGGAGGTTTCTGAGAAGGCCCGCCGCCTTCTGAGAAGGCCTTCTCCTTCCCACTTCCCCCTCCTTGCTCGCCGCCGCCTTAGGTTCCCGTTCTTGCATTCAGGATAATCCATCTGGGTGGTCTGTTTCGATGCATCTGCTGAAACGACCCCTGTCCCTGATGTTTTGGGCCTCTTAACCGAGGTGCGCCCCCAACGGGGTCAGGGTCAGGGTTGGGGGTACTCTTGAGAGCTCGTCGCGAGCGAGGGGGCAGGCCTTCTCCGAGGGCGGCGGGGCTTCCCAGCAGCCCGCCGGCCTTCTGAGGAGCCCTCCGTGGCCCCGGAGAGGGCGCAGAGAGCTTCCCCAGAAGGCCAGAGGCCTTCCGAGCCCCCTGCGAGGGCCTGCCCCCCCTCGAGGAGGAGGAGGAGGAGGAGGAGGAGGAGGAGGAGGAGGAGGAGGAGGAGGAGGAGGAGGAGGAGGAGGAGGAGGAGGCCCTGGGCGCTCCGCCGAAGACCGCCTCGCGCCCTCACGGCGTGCTGCAGGCTGGCGGAGGCCGAGTGTCGGAGCCGCCTCGCGCGCTCCCATCAGGCCGCCTTGTGACCAGTGCCGCGACCCCCATTCTGGCCTGGCCTGGCAGAGTTGACGCGGGCCGAGGTGTCCCCACAACGAACCGTGAGAGCAGGCTGCGCCGGCCACAGTCAAGGCTCGCGTCAAGAATCGGCTCTCTCCGCGTCCTTCGTGTCTGGCCATCCTTGGTACGGTTTCGGCCCGGCCTCTCGGGCCGAAGGATATTCTTCCCGATGCGTCCTGGCGCGCGGATTGCAAGGATGCTGCCTGGCTAGGGTCCCTGGCATTTCTTATCCTTATCACTGAAGTTCACTGTATAGCCTTTCGAGTAGAGGGAAAGCACAACCTCGCTAACCACAACAGTCTCGCGGACATACGGACGACGCCTTCGTGTCAACGCGCCACTGTTGCAAGACGAGAGTTCGACGCAGTAGTCGGGGAGGTTCCTGATGCCGAAGCCGCCTTCGAGAGCAGCGAAACGCGCACATGTGTCGAAAGCGTCCCTGGAAGAGAGGCTTGGGCGTTGCAAGGCCTGGGCTCAAAGCCACGGCCGTCACCGCAGCATCCAGAACACTGGCTGGCAATATTCGATGACAGCCTAGCTCTCAGTCACGTGGGGGCGTTTTTGGGGATCGGTCCTCCTCCTCTTCCTCCTCCTCCTCGTCTTCCTCCTCCTCCTCCGTAGCCATTTTGGCTCAAGGTTTTGAGGTTCGCATCGAACCAAGTGGATACCGCTAGTCCGCGGCAGTGCCAGGACTGTACAGTCCGACAATTTCTCGCGGCGTCATTCTCGAAGGCGAAGAGGGAATTTACATAACGTCGAAGGATACTGTCCTCAAGTCCTACGGCTAAGACGTGGTGCTGCGTAAGGACAGGACCAGGTTCAGGGTTACATTCGCAGTTCTCGACGTCGTGAGGCCGATTTTCAGCGTCTCCGACTCGGCTGAGAAACGCGAAATCTCCACGCATTGCGAGTGGGGCAACAACTACATGGAGCGAAGGACACCTACTGGTGTCCGAAGGCTTGGGCTGATGGCTCGGGCAGGCCCCTTGTTCCTACAGGCAATGGTCACAGCTGGCAGCAGCGTGCATGTTGGGAAGTCCCCAGCGCACCGCGTCTACAACAAAGAGAGCGCGACGGAGCTCGACATGGGTCCCGTGTCAGCCGATGTGCCGCGTCCCGTGGAGGCGGCGCCAGTGTTTCGAGCTTTGGCAGGACCAGCCCAGCAGGAACGAGATCATCGCGTAGCCCTGAACCACACGCAAATGAAGTCCTGGTGCAAGTTCTGCGTTTTTGGGCGCGGGCGAGAGAGCGCCCATCACAAGGCAGACGCGATCGAGTTTAACATTGCGAGCGTTCAGGTCGACTACTTTTCGTGCGTCGGGAGACGGCGGGGCAGATGCCGGCGCGTTTGTCCGCAGTGGACTCAGTGTATCGGAGGCGAGCCGCCGTCTTGGATGCGAAGGGCAGTGCCGACAAGTACGCGGTGTGCATTCTGAAGCATTTCGTGGACCAGCTCGGTTACGAGGAGATCATTCGGAGGGCCGATCCAGAAAACTCGGCTGCCGACCTGATCAGGGCGGCCTGCCGCGGTCGTGGCGGCTGGACGTGCGAGTCCATCCCCAGGGAGAACAAGGGCAGCCTCGGCCTTGTCGAGCGCGCCCACCAGGACGTCGAAGGTCTGGCGAGGACTATGCTTCTGGGCGTCGAGAGCAGGTGCGTAGTAGAGCTGCCAGCCGAGTTCCCTCTCATGGAGTGGTTTGTTCGGCATGCTGCGTGGCTTATGGAGAGGTTCTGGATCGCCCCTGGTGCTGGAATTGCAGCGTTCGAACTCCAGTATGAAAGGCAGTATTGCAGTCCAATGGTTCCATTCGCAGAGACGGTCACGTGGTTGGAGCTTGGACCTCGCGCGCTCAAGTGACGCGAGAAGTTCGGCCAGGGCATTTGGGTTGGCAGGGGCGAGGCCACCTACTTCCATCTGATTCTCGCGAGGCAGGAAGCCTTCGATGCTCGGGCCATGCGACGCCTGCCGCCAAGCGAGCGTCACGATTACCAATGGCAATTTATTTTCCTCGAGGGGAGTCCCCAGCAGGATTCGACCACCCGACGAAGGAGCAAGGCCACTACCCGTCGCAGAGGTTCAATGCCGGCCAGCAGCTCCACAAGTGCCCGCGGCGTTGAGACATGCTCAATGCGATCAACCTGAGCAAACAGCGTGCCAAGTTCAGCCAGAAGTCGTCATCCCATCAAGTGGTATATATATATATATATTTATAGTCCTGGAGGCCAGGTCAAGGACGCGGCCATGGAAGAGCCTCGGCAAAAGGGCCGAGGCGGAAAGAGACATCGAGGACAGTAATCCACTAGAGCCACCGCCAAAGAAGACTAGAGGCATGCCGGTTACCCGTGTTTTGCCACTGCCAACTAGCAGGGACTTCACCCCTGGTTGCTCGGGGTGTTTTGGTACATCCCACACGCATGGCAAGTGCTGCAGGGGGGGGGGGGGCTTCTTCGAGCGCGCGGAGATCGAGAAGCTGGTGACGAAGGTCCAGCGCGACGCGGAGAGAGAGCTGCTCCGAAGCAGAGCAGAGGAGGCAGCAAAGGTTCAGCCCAGAGCCAGTGCAGCAGCTGCATGTTCTGGTTCGCGGCCAAGTTCATCGACGGACCCGCCGCAGCCGCCGTCGGGCGGCGCGGGGGGCGCGGACGCAAGTCATATCTACAAGATGGAGGTGAGCGGGATGTTTGCCACGATCCGTCACCCCGACAATTTCATGAAGGATTTCACCCAGTAGGTCTTTGCGAAGAACCGCGCCGTGTGCCACGTCGACGACCCGAACTAGGTCGACTTTGGCCACCCTTTGGGCTGCGGCGAGAACGACGGCAAGGCTTTGGATCCAGGCCAGGTCAAGGAGGGCATCCAGAGGGAGCTCGACATGATGCGCGACCTCGGCATCGGCGAACCCGTCAGGGGCGACGAGATAGCCAAAGGTGCGGACATATGGACTGCGCGATGGTGCCACCGCAAGAAGGCTGGTGGAGTTCGAGCACGACTAGTCGCTCGTCAGTGCAAGTGGATCGCAGGCAAGGCCGACGACAATTTCGCCCCTGCGCCCGACATCGAATGTATCCGACTTCCCATAGCCGTCGGCTTAGTCGAGGGCGCCGATTTCATCATTTGTGACCTCTCTGTCGCTTTCATGCGCACCGAGTTAAACGAGGAGATCTACGTGTGGCCGCCGCCAGAGATGGGATTGCCAACGGGTGCTGTCCTACGCCTCGAGGACCTCGGGTATCCCGTCGAAAAGGTCATCGAGACAGACGGCAGCTCTGGACAGTCCATCGCGCTGCGCCGTGGACTTGAAATAGTGCGACACTTGGACGTTCGCGTTCTCTTGCTTCAACAACAAGTGGTAGCCTCGCGTGCAGTCCAAATCCAGAAGATACCAGGCGCCGA